GTTTTTAAGTAGATTATTTGGCTACCATTCTACAGTATTTTCCTTCCTGTAGGCTCCAGATGAGAGGCCATGTCAGAGAAGACCTGCATGGCCACCCGACATCACTCTTCAGCTGGTTTGGCTCCTTGTGACAGGAAGTAAACTCCACGAGGGCAGCCACTCCACCTTTTTGTTTATACCTGGGCTTGGCACTTACTAGGCTCTTAGTAAATATGTGTTCAATACTAAAGGAATTGCTTAGAGAGACTTCACAATTCTGAGTGGGCTTGGATTCGTTAATCATCCCCCTTTCATTATTAATTGCTATGGTGAGTTTTGATACAGGATGAAGAGTGTCTGTCCTTGTCAAAAACAATTCCAGGGGCTGGAGAGATGGCTCAGTGGTTAAGTCGTTGCTCTTCCAGAGAACCTGGGTTCAGTTCCCAGCACCCACATCGAGGCTCACAGCCATCCTTAACTCCAGTTTCAGGGAAGCTGATACCCTCCTCGTGCCTCTGCGTGGCACTGGGCATGCACATGGAGCACCAACATGCATGCAGTCAAGTGACCCATACACCTGGAATAAATGAATAAATAAATAGAACTAAAGTAAAAAAGAATGGGTGTTTCTCTTGCAGAGGACCTGAGCTCAGTTCCCAGCACCCACGCCAGGTGGCTCAGAACCACTCGACCTCCAGCTTTAGGGAATCTGCACCCTTTTCTGGGTTCCATGGACGCCTGCATACCCATGCACACACCCACATACAGATGCACAAATTCAAAATGATAATAATAATAAATATTGTTTAAAAAAAACACAGGCCAGAAACTGTTTTGAAAGATGGCTCAACAGTTAAAGGCTCCTGCTGCTCTTCCTCAGGGCCAGGTTTGGTTCCCAGCCATTATACAGCAGCTCACAACCATCTATAACTCTAGCTCCAGGGGATCCTCTGTTGTAAAAGGAGTGGCAAGGCTGCGTTCCCAGCACCCCGGCCGCCTGGCTGGCTTATGCCCCGAAATAACAACACACAAATTGTATTTATTTAAACACTGCTTGGCCCATTATATCTATCCTCTTCTCAGCTAACTCTTGCACCTGGACTAGCCCATTTCTAATAATCTGTGTAGCATCAGTCTTACTGGGAAAGATTCTAGCCTATGTCCATCCTGGGTCAGAGCTTCATCGCGTGTGCCTCAGAGAGCAGAGCTCTCGCGTCCACCCGGGAGAGGGGAGCATGGCGTCTCCTCCAGAGAGCAGAGCTGAGCTCACTTCCTCTTCCTCCCAGCATTCTGTTCTGTTTACTCCTCCCACCTATGTTTTAACCTATGAGGGCCAAGCAGTTTCTTTATTGCTTAACCAATGAAATCAACAGATTGATATATGACACTCCCACATCAATCCTCTGACTTCTTCTAGCTTCTATGGGCAGCAGGCTCACACATAGTACATAGACAAACATACATATAAGCCCATACATCACATAAAATAAGAATTTTAATTACAAGAATAAGCTCATACCAGGGTCACCTGGCAGTATCGTAGCTGTATTCTCAGGACTCCCATGATGCTCTGGCTCCAGAATCTGTCTCCCCATCCCATCCCCTACACGTGGTACCAGCTGCTCATTTGTCATGTGTCTGAGCACTGACCCACTTCAGTTTGACATGGGGAAGAAGTTGAAGAATTTAAGAAATGGTAGAGGAAGGATTTGAAAAAGAAAGGCAAGTGAGCGGAATGACTCTTGAGTAAACAAAAGCCAGCACCCTGACTTCTACCCCTGAAACCCAAGAAAAGGATGAGGAGAGGGCCGATTTTATAGCATTGCTTTCTGAGCTCCACATCTGTGCCATGGCATGCCATACATGCATATGTAGGTGTGTGTGTGCACACCGTTACACACACACACACACACACACACACACACACTGACCTCCACATTTGTGCCATGGCATGCCATACGTGCATATGTAGGTGTGTGTACACCGTTACACACACACACACACCTCCATACTTTTACCATGGCATTCCTAAACACACATATGTCGGTGTGTTTGCACACCACTACACACACTCACACTAACCTCCACACTTGTGCCATGGCATCCTCACATATGCATATATAGGTTATGTGCACACCATTACACATACACACAATTGGTTTTTTTTAGGACAAGATTCCAAGGCGAATCAGATAGGCTGTGGATGATCTTTGCTGAGGTCTGGAGATACGACTGTTTGTTGACGAAGGAGGCCATGAGTGGGAGGCAGGACCTGTAGCTGCCACCAATTCTTCTCCTTTTTGGCCCCCAGGTTAGTAATTCTGTGGCCTTGGAGACCTGGAACCACAGGGCTCACATAGGAGTCAGAGAAAGTCTGTTCTAGAGTTCAGGGAGAAGAAACATGCCGGGCGAGGTTGGGGGACAGGGAATGACCAGACCCTGTCTCACAAGAAATTCCCCCAAGTGTTCAAAATTGGGTGGGGCCAACTTCTTGGGGGTTCTTACCAAGAGTCTATGAGTGCAGACAGTGATAAAGGAAGTTTTACATAGTATGGGGGCTGAGCTAATTTGTTATGTTGGAGCTTTGATGGTGTCCTCATAGAAAAGCAGACTGGTCAAAATACAAATATTTAGTGGACAGAACCAGCTGTGCAGGCCGTGAGGCAGAGGAAGCAGCTAGACTTGGGACTGTAGACCTCAGCTACCCATAACTGTGTAGCAAGTTGCTTCTGGTTGCCTCTGATGTGGGTGGCAAAGAAGATGGATTAGTGGGCTGTGTGGTTTCTTCATGATCTGTTTGTGCCAGGTCAGGAGTGTTTGAGGGAGATGAGACTGTAGGGGAGTGCATTAAAGCTGTGGCATTGCAGAGATATCCTGACTTATCGAGAAGCCAGGAAATACTTGGGTAGAGCCGCAATAGGACAGCTCTGGAAGGGTAGAGTCACAATAGGACAGTACTTCTCCTGGAGAGCTGCTTCAGCTGAGCTCTGCTTAAGGGAACATCCTAGCAGAACTATGGGCTTTTTCTTCCACCCAAGATGTTACTTCTTTTGCTAACACTCTGCTAAAGAGGTAGCCGCTGTAGAAATGTAACAGTCTCTCCAGCTCCAGCTAAATGTTGTTAATTTTTTCTGCTCTGCCTTGCTCAGCCGCCCCCCAGTGAGCATCTCAGCAAGATTTCCAGCTTAGTTCCCTAAGGGACATCCAAGGCAGGTTCTTCTATTCTGCTCCAGCCAATGAAGATCGTCAACTAACACTCTTTTGAGAAAGAGGTTTATTTGGGAAGGAGGAGTCCAGGAGAGTTTCTGAGTAGCAACTTCTTCCAGGGAGAGATAAATGCCAGCCCCTTATTGAACAGGAAGAGAGGCTTATAGGGCTTCTTAAGGGTGGCATTTTCCCAGGGAGAAGGGGGATTGGTTAGTTTTTTCCCTGCTCAGGGATTGGTCAGTTTAGCTGGCCAGGGGCAGAGATGGCCCTGACTTCATGGCCAAACTGTGTTTCTTTCTCTGGTCCTTTCTAGATTTTTTACTCTAATCTTAGTACCAGGGCATATTTCTTTCACTGGCTCTGATTTTAGGGACAAAGTGTGTTTCTTTGGCACTGATTTCAGAGTCAGGGCATGTTTCTATGGTCCTGGATTCAAGGATGAAGATGTTTCTTTCCCTGGCTCAGGTCTCAGATACAGGCTGTGTTTCTTTCACTGGCTCTGGGTTCATAGTCAGGATGCTCAGTGATTGGTTGGTTTCCTGCCCCAGTTGTCCCTTTTACCCTCCAGGGAGAGTGTCCACCTCACATTTCTGCCCAGGGACATCTATCCTGGAAGACGTGAGAAAAGATCTATCTCCATAGCATGAGCAGAGTCCTGGCAATCTTAGCACCACCGCAGACTTTCAAGGGCTCCAGCCACAGACAGTCACAGCAGAAGAGGAGGAAAAGGTGCCGTGCCCGCGGACCCTCTAAGATGGCAAAACTGCGTCATGGTGAAAGTTGGTCAACAAGGCAACAAGTGAGTAATGAGAAAAGGAGAAGTGCAGGCAATGAATCCACACAAATCGGAAGGGCGGAGGACTAACCCACGCGGGGTGTTTGCAGAAGGGAAATAAGGGTCACACATGTAAAACCTGCTGTGCTGACAAAGTCCGCCGCGAGAGAAGAAGGCGGGGACACTCAGATGAGATGCTCTTCCCTCTCTAAATTTTTCTTATATTATTTTTTAAAATTCTCTTACAGCTTCACAAGCATATACAATGAATTGGTGATTTTTCAGCACTATCACCCTTCCTCATCTCCCTTCCTGTTCCTACCTCTTTCTTTCTTTTTACCCTCTTTTTTTAAAACAAGGTTTTTCTATGTAGCCCTGGCTGTCCTGGACCTCCCTGAGTTTCTCTATGTAGTCATGGAACTCACTCTGTAGACCAGGCTGGCCTCGAACTCAGAGATCTGCCTGCTTCTGTTGGGATTAATGGAGTGTGCCACCAGCTCCTTCCAAAGGGCCTTTCGCCATTCTCTTGAGCACATGTCCTCTCTCTCTCTGTCTCTCTGTTTGTGTCTGTGTCTGTCTCTCTCTCTGTCTCTCTGTTTGTGTCTGTGTCTGTCTCTCTCTCTGTCTCTGTCTCTCTGTCTCTGTCTCTCTCTCTCTCTCTCTCTCTCTCTGTGTGTGTGTGTGTGTGTGTGTGTGTGTGTGTGTGTGCATGTTTTCCATTGAATTTAGTTAGGATTGTTTGAATGTGGACTGAAGGCGAATTACTGGAACATGGACAACTGACCAGCAGCTACACCACTAAAACAAATGAAAAGCCTCCTCCCAACAAAGGCAGACTCCCTAGAGGTCCAACCCATGTCGGCAAGGAGAAGATGTCAACACGGGGTCTTTTCCCAAACAAAATGCTAAGCGTGAGTTAGGGCTGTGGGCATCAGAGCCTGAGAGGATGAGAAGACTCCATGTTGTGGGAGTGGCACTCAGCTGAGGCTGGAGAGCTGGAAACAACTGTTTTCCACCTGAGCATTTGCCTTTGAAGCTTTCAGCTTCCTCCGTGGAGTTTAACCAGGTCTTTCTCATTTGGAAACTTGTATTTGGATGGTGTCTGGTACTCACACATTGAATAGATGCTTCTGAAGGAACAGGAGGAAAACTGAATGACCCGGTGTCGAGGCTGGCCCTAGAGCGGTCAACAGGGTGATGTGGACTAGTGATTCCTGAGGAGATAGAAGCCTTCGCCAGTTAACTCCCCATTTGGTCTCACTGGGTGGAGAAGGTGGGGAACAAAGACTTCAGGGACCATGACTGAGCTACGCCATTGGAACCCCACTAAGCAGCACAGAGGCTCAGTCGATTGCACCATCTGTGTTTGGAATGCATTAAGTCACTGGTTGTGTTGACTATAAAGAAAATACGGTGTGTTCCATCTGTAAGGCACAGACATCCAATTTGACAGTTGCCAACTTTTACACCACTAGTTGAAGCTGCATTTCCCAGAGAGTTGGTCAAACACATGGCTGGTGGCCCACAGACTTGGGATGACAGGTGTCCTAAAGGATCTGGTGCCCTAAGAAGAAACATGACCTTTCCTTTTATTTTCTACTTCCCTGGACACCATCAGAGGAAGAAAGGCCCAGACAGGCACAGTAGGATGTTCTGAGAGAGGGACAACCTGAGAGATTCCAGAACCTCAGCTGTCCATGCTGTAGAAGTGGGGAGCAGTCTGAGGGTGAGCCCACAGTACCCCTGAGTCATGATACTGCTGACCACAGTCATTGCTTGATATTCTTTTCTAGGCTGGGAGATGGCTCAGTCGATAAAATGCTTATCACAACCCATGGGTTTTTTGTGTTTAGTGTGTGTGTTGTGTTTTAAAGTTGAGGCACTTGTGTGTGCTTAGGATGGCAAGACAGGAAATAGAGGCAGGTAGGTCCCTGGAGTTCCCTGCTAGCTAGCTTGGCCTACTTGGCAAAGATACAGACCACTGAGAGACTCTGTCTCAAACAATAGTGGAATGGCACTTGAATTTGTCCTCTATCTACACATGTATACTATAATGTGTAAACACACACACACACACACACACACACATACACACACTAGAGAGAGAAAAAGAAAGAGAGAGAGGGGATTATTTCCTATATACAGGGAGGTGTTTCTCTCTGTTCGCGGCATCAGAACTCTGGACCTTCCCCAGGCCAACTTCACCTCCCCCAGAGCACCTCTGAGGTCTGTTCACCCAAAGGACAGCACTGAGCATGCTCAGGATCAGAGGCAGCTCCAGAAAGACCAGGAGGTTGAAGTAGATGCTGCTCATTACAAACCTGCAGAAAATGAAGGAGACAGAAAGTAGGAAGTCACTTGTCACAGAGGTCTAGTCTTCCTTGTGATCCTATCTCATCCTTCAATGGCCAGATAAGGACAAGCCTGGGGCGCTACTAGGATGGGCTCCCTGCAAAGGCATGGCTGCTCATGCTGCCTGCAGGCTAAGATCCTGCCCTGGGTGCTTTGCCTGGTGTTCCTCAAGTCCCCTTTGACCACTGTCCTCTCTGTTTGCCTGGTCTCTCAGAAGTCCTCCTCATCTAGTCTTCATTCCAGCCAGGCTGAGGGCTTCCCTGTCCCTGAACTTTTGAGCTCGGCTTCTGCTACATTCTTCACCTGGATGATCCTGCCCAGCATCATCACTGTGTGGGCACTGATACACATCTCAGGGGTCTGGGAGCATACTACATCTAGAAATGGTTCATGGTTGCAACCTCTCTGTCACATGAATTTACACTGGTATTGCACTTGAGACCAAAGACCCTGACAATAATGATCCCTCTTCTCCACCTCTCTGTCATCCTCATCCCCACCCAGGTGTCCATCTCCTTTCTTGGACCATCCTTGGTTCTCCTTTGGCCCAGCCAGAGGCCATCCTCAGCTCATGGAAAGTATCTACAACTGCAGGTCCTCCAAGAGTCACAGGTTAGCACAAACGTGTTCCTGGAAGATGGAAGAGCTGCCCTTGGCACACCGTGCATCAAATGTCCTGACCTGTTTCCCAGGACAGCGCTCTGTGCATGCTCACACTCTTGTGGACTCTACATTTCTGGAACCTCGTACCCTCTGTCTCTCCATGGCTAACACTCCATCGACTTGCAAAACAAAATAGCAGAAATACTCCCAAAGCACCAGGAGAGAAAGGAAACTTAAAAACTAATCCTCAAGAGAAGCTATAAGGTAGGAAAGCTTTTAGGCATGTTTGTTTACCTTAAGATTTAATAAGCAGAAAGAACACAGTAGAAGGAAGAGAGCAATGACCTCTGCCTTCACTGTAAGGGGAAGCAGAAGCTTGTGGTTTAGCTGTGCCCTTGACCTGGGGACTTGACCTCAACAGGCTGGGATGGTATTATGCCAAGGTAGCTGTATGGTGCTGGGAATTGCTCTGGACACCTTCAGGAGTGACGAGCATCACACTGTCACAGCATGGTCCTCAGTTTCCCACGCTCCTCCTCTGCACTCCGTAGACCCCCACACTGGCTCTTGGCAGAGTTGCATTGGAACAATGGGAATTATTTAATGGGCTAGAGCCAGAAGGTGGTTAGAGAGGAATCTCTCTAACTCAGAGGAGACCGAACTGTGGCCCTCTGTCCTGCTCTGTAGGGAACACATGGGGAGACACCAAGTACCAGGCTCAGTCTCTTCTCCACTCAGATGAAAATGCTGCCTTCCTGTAGCTGAGGCTTAGAAGGGAAGTCTTGGTAAACTAAAAGGTAAAAGGATTGGGGAGCCCACCTCAGGCTTTGTCATGAGAATACAGTCACCTGAGTGTCTCTAGAAGATAGTTACTGAGTCTAGCAAAAAAAATTACAAAATGGCCAGGCCAATCTGGTATTCAGATAAGCGACTTTTTAAAAATTATAAATATAGCCATGTAAAGCTGGGATAAATTAGGCTAGAAATTAACGGTTTGTGGATTCTAGGAGTCCTGGGCATCTTGTGTTTTGTCTGGAAGCTCTCCCAGGCAAGAAGCCATAAGGACACCCCAGTGGGAAAGAGCTGCTAGGGTCCAGCTCTGCTTACCAGGTGAGGGTGCTGGTTTGAGTCTGTCCATGATTGGCAATGCTCTTCCTGGTTGTCAGTGCGGATGTCAGAACTGGAGCCATGGTTGTTAATATTACAGTTGTAGTTTCTGGGGCTAAAGATATAAACAGAAACAAGGGTCACTCCTCCTGAGGTCAGTCCAGCTCTGGGCATGGCCTAAAGCTTTTCTCACTAGGAATTAAATAACTTTCTCTGCAGTCACCACCCAAAGCTTTACACTAATTCCTTTCTAAAGAAAGATGATGTCTGGGCTGGAGATATGGCTCAGCGGTTAAGAACACTGACTGCTCTTCCAGAGGACCCGGGTTCAATTCCCAGCACTCACATGACAGCTCCTGACTGTCTGAAAATGCAGTCCCACAAGATCTGACACCTTCACACCAATGCACATAAAAAAATAAAAAGTTAAATAAATCATTTTTTTTTAAAAAAAAAAGATGATGGCCAGGCAGAGCAGCAGCTCCCCTTCAACACTCGCTTCCTCAAGGCTCACTCATCTGTCTGCTGTGCAGTAAGCAGAAAAACCTCAGTTTTGCATGTTTCATGTATTTTTTGAAAATCTTTATTTGTATGTGGATGGGTGTTTGCTTGCCCATGACTATGGGCACCATGTGCCTGTGGTGACCATGGAGACCAGAAGAGGCCATCAGATCCCCTGGGACTGGAGTTGAAGATGACTATGAGTTCCCCTAAGATGCTGAGCACTAAACCCAGTTCTGGGAAAGTAACCAGTGCTCTTAACCACTGAGCCATCTCTCCACCCCAATTTTGTCTATTTTCTTGATTGTAGTTGTTTAAACAGACACAAATCTGACTCATGACTCTATCTTGACCAGAAATGGAGTTTCTGTGGTTTCCATTATTATTTCTTGTTAAAGGGGTAAAGGCTGGGGGGAGGGGGCTCCTCAGGATGGGAGTTTAGCTCAGTGGTAGAGCACTTGGCTAGCACACATGAGGCTCTGAGTTCAGTTCCCAGATCTGTACAAGTGAGAACATGCAAGGCACACATGTGGGGGCGGGAAGACAAGGCCTTCCCACCTCACCTTGTATCCCGGTAGAAAACAGGATCAATAGAGTAGACTGTGTTTACGTTCTCTAGTCAGATTTTACAGCAAGGAATGCAAGGCCCCTGATTCCTCACACCAGCCATGATATTCTGTAATTTTTTCCTTACCTGGGTCAATGTTCACATTAACTTCAAAATTCGGATCATATCCAGTTTTCTCAATTGCACACCAGTAAATGCCAGCATCGCTTATCCTCAGCTCCTCCATGGTCACTGTCACGGTGAAGTTTGTCTGGTCGTCCCTGATGGACACACGGTCCTTCTTCACCAACTGCTCCATATCCGTTTCAACCAGAATCTCACATGTTTTCCAAACAGCTCCTCGGCACCAGTACTTCTTGTAATCCTTCCAGGAGGAGTCATAATGGCACCGCACAGTCAAGGAGCCCTGCTCATGACCGCTCACCATGTTTGGACCTGTGATTGCATCCTGAGCAGTGGAGCAGCCTGGAAAATACAAACCCGTGGACCACTGATCTCCCACTCCAAGGGCAGGGCATACAGTGTCAGTTCCAAAGAGAGACACAACTCAGCAACAACAATCATTGAAGGGCTACCCCTTTCCCAAGATCATCCTCTTGGTCAAATTCTCAAAACTTGGCAGAAGAGCCTAGTCACGGGTCTCAGAAGTTAAAATGGTGACATTGAGCAATCATGGCTTCCTGCCATCCACCCCTCTTCATGCTGTAATGCCCAATAAAAGAATATTTCAAAGGATCTTTTTTGCAACCATCTTTGTGTTTTCCTGGAGCAGAGGAAGTATCAGAAGACCTTGTCCACAGGACATGATCCTGCCTTCATTTCAGTACCCATGACCCTCAGGAGGTCCATCTGAAGAACCACATCCTATGGCCATGCAGAGGCCACCACGGGTAGTCCAGCAGTCTCTAGGGGTTCTGTAGGGGACCATCTTAGATGAATGCCTTGGAAGCTGACAAAATGTCCCCAACCATTCAGATCTCTGTGTGGTACAGAGCCCACAGCACACAGATCCTGTTCTCTCTTTTAGATGCATGTAAATCTGAGTTCCAAAATTCCCAGTAAGGGCTGTGGAGGCAGCTCGGTAGGTGGGGAGCTTACATAGCATGCAGAACACCAATCAATAACAAAATCCTGCTTTAAAATGCTAAAAGAAGAGCTTCAGAGTATTGACTTCAACAACAATAACAACAACAACAACAACATATGTTCCCAATGGCAGAGGTAAAAAAACAAAAATTGCTAAATGTAATTATTTCAAATTAAAGGACTCAACCAACAGAGTGAAGAGACACCTTCCAGCAGGGGAGAACATCTTTTCAGACTTTGCATCTGACAGGAGGTCAATTTCCAGACTATATGAGTACAAATTCAGCTCAAAGAGTCCAACGGCAATCATAATCCTATTGAAAATGATCTACTGAGGGGCTGAGGAGAGGGGGTAGCCAACGAAACACCTGCCGCGTAAGCCTAGGCATGAAGAACCTGAGTTTGTGTCCCCACCATCCATGTACAAAGTCAGGAGTGCTGGTGTGTCCCCACAGCCCAACACAGCGGTGGTCAGAGGAGACGAGGGATCCTGAAAGCTCCATGGCCATCCAAGACAGCTTCAGTTTCAGTGAGGAACCATATCTCAAAAAATAAAGGTGGGAGTAGGCATGATGGTACATGTTTCAATTGCAGCATCCAGGAGGCAGAGGCAGGCAGATCTCTGTGAGTTCAAGGCCAGCCTGGTTTACATAAAGAGTTGTAGGCCAGCCAGAGCAAATGTAGTGAAACCCTATGTCAAAAATAAAGTTATATTTAAAAAAGGTGGGGGGCAATTAAAGAATGCCACGCAGTTTCTTGACCTCAAGCTTTCATATGCGTGCATACCCGTGTGCAGGTGCGCCTGCAAGCACGCATGCTCACACACACACACACACACACACACACACACGAGCAATGAACCGAGCACACAGTTCTCAGGAGATCTTGTCTATTTCCCCTTCCCAAGGGGATCTATGTATGTGTCTCTTAGGGTTCTCCCTGTTACTTAGCTTCTCTGGGGTTGTGGACTATAGGCTTGTTATCCTTTGCTTTACAGCTAGTATCCACTTATAAGTTTGTACACATCATGCTCATCTTTCTGGATCTGGGTTACCTCATTCAGGATTTTTTTTTCTAGCTTCATCCATTTGCATGCAAATTTCAAGATGTCTTTGTTTTTGTTTTTTTTTTAACCACTGAGTAGTACTCCACTGTGTAAATATGGCACATTTTCTTTATTCATTCTTCTATTGAGGGACATTTAGGTTGTTTCCAGGTTCTGATTATCGCAACTAATGCCGCTATGAACAAAGTTAAACAAATGTCCTTGTAGTATGACCAAAAATCCTTTGGGTAGATGCCCAAGAATGGTATTACTGGTCTTGAGGTAGGTTGATTCCCAGTGTTCTGAGAAACCATCATATTGATTTCGAAAGTGGCTGTACAAGTTTGCACTCCTACCAACAATGGAGGAGTGGGAGCGCACAGTTCTTAGAGGAGATACAAATGGTCAATAAATACACAGAGAAATGCTCTAATTCACTGTCAGGGAGATAGATGCGAATCAGAACCATAGAGAGCCATCATCATCATCCCCCAATCATTACGGCTATTTCCAAAAGGACAAAATATAACAACCATAGAAGTGCATGTGTGACAGGGAGTCTCACACACTGTGCATCGTGATGTAAATGAGAGACCTGTGGGAAACAGTATGGAAGTCCTCAGAGAAGCATAGGACTGCCACACAATACAGTAACTGCTGGGGGGAGGGCGTATAGCCTGTGCTGGTTACCTTTATGCCAAGTTGATACCATCTGGGTGCATACAGAAAGAAAGAACATCAGTTGAAAAATGCATCCATCGGGTTGGCCTGTACAAAAGTCTTTGGAACATTTTCTTGATGTGGGAAGGTCTAGCCTATTGTGGGTGATGTCACCCCTGTAGTATAAGAGAGCAGGCTGAACAAGCCATGGGGAGTAAGCCAGGGAACAGCACTGCACCAGGGTCGGTGCCTCAGTTCCTGCCTCCAGGTTCCTGCCCTGCTTGGGCTCCTGCTCTGGCTTCCCTCCTTGATGGACGGTGATCTGGACATGTAATCCAAACAAACCTTCTCCTCCCCTAGCTGTTCTTGGCCATGGTCTGTATCTATCACAGTAATAAAAAGCAGGCACACAGCCCGGAGGGTGAAGTGAGCATGCTGAAGAGACATCCTGCCTTGTGTTTCCTGCAGCAGTGTTCACAATATCCGTGGCATAGAATTAGCATAAATTTACTATCCTTGGTTGCATGGATAGGAAAGTGTGCTAGAGAAATGCAATGGAATAGCATAGTAGAAGGATTGAATTCCATCATTTGCAGCCCACAGATGGAATTGGAGGAAGTGAAATAATTCAGATACAGAAAGAGACTACCTCATGGTTTTATTTATATGAGGAAGCTAGAATGTAATTCTCTGGGGCTAGGGGCATGGGGAGATGGACAGGTCAGTAAAGTGTTTGCTGCATAAGCAGGAGACCTGAGTTTGGATCCCAAAACACATGGGAACATCCAGGTGATGTGAGATGTGTCTGTAGCCATGAGAGCTGGGGAGTCAGCGCAGGAGGATACCTGGGATCGCTGGCCACATAGATTGAGTCTCTGAGCTCCAGGCTCAAGGGAAACCCCGCCTCAACAAAGAAGTTTGAGAGTGATAAAGGTACCCAATGCTCATCTTTGGTTTCCACACGTACATATATGTGTGTTGCAAGGTGAGGGCCTGCTTATTTGTCCTGGTCGCCCAGCTAGCTTAGCCCTGAAACAACCACACAGAAACTGTATTAATTAAATAACTGCTTGGCCCATTAGATCTAACTTCTTATTGGCTAACTCTTACGTATTAGTTTAACCCATTTCTATTAATCTGTGTATCGCCACGTGGCAGTGGCTTACCAGGTAAAATTGTAACCGGCGTCCATCTCAAGCAAAGGATCCATGGCTTCTCTCCCTGACTCTGCTTTCTTTCTTCCAGAATTCCGTTCTGTTTCCCTCCACACTCCCGCCTAGCTCTGTTCCACTCTAGCTCTACTATAGGCCCAAAGAAGTTCCTTTATTAACCAATGAGAGCAACAAATAGAAGGACCTCCTACACCATATGTGTACCACACAATGTACCTGAGCACACACAAACACACATGCAGTCACCTCACAGACATATTTTTTTCAAAAGGAGCAAAATCTGACTTCAGAGAAGTAGTGAACAGAATAGAGAAGATATCAGATGCTTCTAGTACAAAAAAGTGACAAATCCTTGTGACAGAGGGCAGCTACCATGACCTGACTGCCACATCCTGCACACTCGTGCAAATGCCACATGGTACTGTAGTGATATTTTATTGTATTTTAATAAATAAAGCTTGCCTGAAGGTCAGAAAAGCAAAGCAGTCAGCCACTGGCTCTTACCTCTCTCTCAGTCTGTAATGGCGATCCTGCTTCCAGAAATCTCAGAATGAGACTGTGTCTGAGAGCTGTCTCCTCCAGTCTTATATTCCTCTCTAGTGCTGGAATTAAAGGCATACACCACTACAGCCCAATTTCTAGGGCAACTAATGTGGCTACTGGGATTAAAGGTGTGTGTCACCACTGCCTGGTCTGAAAGGCTGACCAGTGGGGCTGTTTTACTCTTTGATCTTCAGGCAAGCTTTATTTATTAAAATACAAATGAAGTATCACTACATTACACCCTATCAGTTTCTTTTCATCTTTTGCGACAGGTCTCCCTATGTAGACCAGACCGTCCTTGAACTCTCTGTGATGTCTTAAAGCCCCAGCTACTTACCTGCGAGGAAGAGGAGCAGAGCAGGGAGCAGCCACATGATCCTGTCTTCTCTCTTGTCCTTGGTGGTGACAGAAACTAACACCCTGCAAGAACTTGAAACTCAGCTTAAATTTTCTTTAAATCATTCACTTCCTTGACAATTTCTCAATTTTGCATATTTCAAAAAAGAGGATTTGAAAAGATTAAGTCCTTGCATGTGTGGTACAGCTGGATGAATGGGGAACTTCCTCCACTAGACAGATGCAACGCTAGATCTGAACTTGAAAGGTGGATGGGACTCCCGAGGGGAGACACAGACAGGGCAGCAGTGGGAGATAAAAAATACGGAATACAGCAAACTCCTCTTCTCATCTGGGACGTGAGTGACTTGCAGGGGATCATGGGAGAGAAGAGCAGCCGAAGACAGAGTGGCTGCAGTAGCAAGGGAGTGCAGGGTATCCCAGGCTAAGCCCAGGACGGTGAGAAGCATGGCTAAAGGCTCAACCTGAGGCAGGGCTGCTATGAACCCCAGAGCACGGATTTCTCCGGCCAAGGACACCCGTCACAACACTACTAGAGTCCCAAGTACTGGTTCCAAGAAAGAGGGAGAGTTTGGGTTTGAGACAAGGTCTCATGTAACTAAATCTGACCTTGAACTTCTTCCACCACCAAGCTCAGTTTTATGAAGGTCTGAAGACTGAAGGTTTCAAGCATACTAGCAAGCGCTCTACCGAGTGAGCTGAATCTACAACCCCTTGTTTGGTTTTTTAAAGACAGAGTTTTGCTGTATAGTTCAAGTTGACTTCAGACTCTCTCTCTCTCTCTCTCTCTCTCTCTCTCTCTCTCTCTCTCTCTCTCCAGTGTCAACCTCCCAAATTGTGGGAATCTACAGTTGGTTTAAATCCAGAGAACCAGTTGTATGGATGGATATAGATACAGTGTATCCCTGGCATCAAATTCATGGGAGGAAGTTTTTAAGTAGATACACACCCACAAAGAGAGACAGAGCCAAAGTTAGAGACAGAGACAAAAGAAGAGTTAGAGACAGAGACAGACACACAAGGGGAATGCTTATGATGGCCAGTCTTCATTGTCAGCCTGATTAGATTTGAAATCACCCAGAGACCACCCTATAGGTGTCTCTGTGAGGGTGTGTACAGAGAAGTTTGAATGGGGAGGGACAACCAACCCTGAATGTAGGCAGTTCTAAAACCTAGACTGAGATCCATAAAATACTTCTTGATGGAAAGATTAAGAGCCACACTGCCATCTGCTGGCTGAAACTGTCCCAGAACACCTAGGTTCAAGGGGAAGGAAAATTGATTCTGATGAGCAATGGGAGTGTTAAAGACTTTGCAGCCAGGACAGTAAACTGTTACAGAAAAGGATCTTAATCTAGGATGCTCTCATTGCCTGTCATAAGGACGACAAGGCTCTCCGGCTCCTACCTGGAGAGCGTGCTGGACATGTGAGCCAAGGTGTCAGCTGTGTGTGAAGGAGGACTATGAACCCTCCAAACATCCTCCTCACGGGTAGACCAGGGGTTGGAAAAACCACCCTGAAAAACCACACCAGCAAAGAACTTGCATCAAGATCAAGACTGAAGAGCATTAATGTGGGTGACTTAGCCCAAGAGGTCTGATCACTGGATATCACGGAGTCTGACAGGATGGCTTCTCCCACGAGCATGCACAGAGAAGCACAGATGTTGGTACAGTTCCCGAAGGGACTGGGGATTACAGAATGTGAGCTGAGAGTTACAAATCAGACGTTGGAGCTTGCCTTCTGACATGTAACCACAATTCTGGATGATGCTAAAGTTTATCCCAGCCGTGCTAAGAAAGCTGCTATTGATACAGATGCTGTGTGATCGGCAATCCAGTCCCGGGCCAATCAGCCTCTCACTTCTCCTCTCCGGAGAGATCTTTTATTAGATATTGCAAGACAAAGAAATCAAACCCCTTTGCCATTGATCAAGCCATACTCAGATCCCAGATTGTCTCCTGACATCTCTTGCTTAACTGCCCCAATCTATAGGTTTAAGTCGTTACAGAAAAAGGCACCTACCCCTGCAGGAAGAATAACCGTTCCACGGGGAAGTGCTGGTTCAGTTCCTAGCAGACCCAGCACTCCCATGCTAGGCACACAAACTCCACAAACCATGTCTCTCTCAACTAAAGAAGGCACCCCAATGTCCCTCACAGGACAAAGGTTTACAGTACAGATCCCTCTTCACAGTCTCCAGCTGTGAAAGCTTCAATTCCCGCAGCCCTGGCAGGTCAGAATGTTCTGGCTAATCCGTCATTAATTGGGTCCAAGAACATTCTCAATACTATGAATATGGTATCACAAAATACAGCCGATGGGTCCACAAATGCGCTTGAAAGAAAACGTGGAGATGATGCTGATGACTACGAAGATGATGGTGAGATTAAGTTGTAATCTCGCCTTGATGCATGTAACATGTATACTTGGTCTTGAATCCATTGTACTAGGATCAAACAAGTATGTTATATGTTTTAAAGTTGTATTTTTAGAAAATGGTATTTAATAAGTATACTTACTATGCGTTACAATTGAAATGCTCAGTTTTTTATTTTATTTTTTCAAAATTTTTATTGCTTTGTAAATAATGCCATTCAAAATTTCCACTTCCTCCCCTCCTCCCATTTCCTTCCCTCTCCCCCACTCACCCTCCTCTCTCCCCCTCCAGTCCTAAGAGAGGGCAGGGTACCCTGCCCTGTGGGAAGAGAAAACAAACTACCTTTTTTTCATTTTACATACCAATCCCAGTTCCCACTCCCTCCCCTCCTCCTATTCCCTCCATCTTTCCCCCACACTCCTATCCACTCCCCAGAGAGGGGAAGGCACATTGCTCCGAGGAAGGACCAAGGCCCTCCCCACTATATCCAGGCTGATCAAGGATTCCATCCAAAGAGAATGGGTTCCAAAAAGCCAGTACAAACAACAGGGGGCAAATCCTGGTGCTACTGCCAGTGGCCCAGCCATACAACTGTCACCCACATTCAGAAGGTCTAGCTTTGTCCTATGGTGGTTCCTTCCCTGTCCAACTGGAGTTGGTGAGCCCCCATTAGCTCAGGTTAACTGTTTCAGTGGATGTCCCCATTATGGTCTTGACTTCTTTGCTCATATTCTCCCTCCTCCCACTCTTCCACTGGACTTTGGGAGCTCAACCCAGGGCTCCGCTGTAGGTCTCTGCCTCTTTTTCTGTCAGCTGCTGGATGAAGGTCGTATGGTGACTTTAATATATTCATCAATCTGACTACATGTTGAGAGGAGCGGAGCAGCGGGTTGCGTTCCTGCCGCCCTGGCTCACTGCTGCCTGGCTAGCTTATACCCCGAAATAACAACACACAAACTGTATTCATTTAAACACTGCCTGGCCCATTAGTTCTAGCCTCTTATTGGCTAATTCTCACATATTGATCTAACCCATTTCTAATAATCTGTGTCGCACCACGAGCTGGTGGCTTACCAGGGAGATTCTTAACCTGCGTCTGTGTCGGATGGGAGAATCATGGCGACTGACCGACTCGGCTTCTTTCTCCCAGCATTCTGTTCAGTCTTCTCTGCCTACCTAATTTTCTGTTCTATCAAAGGGCCAAGGCAGTCTCTTTATTTAACCAATGAAATTAACACAAAACAGAACACTCTCCCCCATCAACTACAGAGAAAGGCCAGTTTGGACACACTCTCCACTATTGCTTAGGGTCTTAGCTGGGGTCAACCTTGTGGATTCCTGGGAATTTCTCTACTGCCAGATTTCTTGTTAGTCCCATAATGGCTCCCTCAGTCAAAATATCTCTAAACAAGTAATGGTTTTTTGTAAACTTTTATGCATAAAAATTTAAATTGTCATATATATATATATATATATATATATATATATATATATATATATATCAAGACCTGAAGGTGTGACACTGTGGGCCAATCACAAGACAGGCAGAAAAGCTGAATCTGCCCTGCTGACATGTCCCCACATTGTACCCTCAGACCCATCTGTGCACCTTAGATGTTAGTCCCCATGCCTGCTGGGGCACCATATGGCCACAGGCATCTATCCACTCTCTGAAGTCTCCTTTTAGTCAGAGGTCACAGACTAGCTTCTGAGGTTCTGCATGGATTGACAGACACGTTCTGTTTTGCCCAAAACAATTTAAGGGAAATTTGTTGTCTGTGTAAGTTCCACTGTGGAAACTCTGTCCTTGGTCCAGAATTCATATTTTGGTGCCTCATCTTTCCCTGGGTTCTAGGTAATGTCACAATCCTCCACACAAATGTGTTTGACTGGTTTTTGTTTGTTTGTTTGCTTTGACAAAAAAAAAACAAAAACAATCCTGGAAAGATGGTGGGCTTAACAAACACTATTGAAACATTTGGATACCCACATGCTAGAAAACTCCATGCCTAGAACTGCTTCCCTCCATACTGACTAAGAAATCCAGAATAAATCACAATTCATGGGCTCCAATGATAGATAAAAAGCTACAAAACTCAGGTCTGTTGGCTACCAATCTAGCTAAAAAATGGTGAGCTCCATTGGATAGTCCACTTGCTCCTGAACCAGAGCCACTTGTTGGTTCAAGGTCAATATGTCCAATTGAATATGTCCATTAAGATCATTTTGAATGCCCAAAGCATTGCTGACTCTTTCATCCAGCTGGTTCACAGTCTCAGTTGTCTGCACAGTCTGGGAAAGAGCAATTCTGACAGCAGTAGCTGTGGTAGCAGAGATAGCAATAATGGCAATCACAGCTGCGGTGATTCCAAGGTCTCTCTCCTGCCGATCTTCTATGGTCCAGCACTTGTTGCCATATTTGCTGATACTCCTGACACTGCCGTGGTGTCCCCCAGGCTGGGCACCCGACTGGGCCAGGGCAACATGCATTTCACCATAGCCACCTATCAAAGCTCTGCTCCAGCTGCCTTCTGGCCCCAGATGCACTCTGGGTCTAAACTGCTGCATGGAGTGGAGCAGAACTCAGGGAAGCAGGCTCGCTGCTCCTGCTCCAGAACCATTTAAGGAGCCCCACT